TTTTTAGGCTTGTATTTCCTCAAATCAGTTGTTCCTTCCAACTTCGCGCGTGCACACCGAATACCAGAAAGTTTTCTTCGGGTTACTGCTGATTACCATAAGAGTACATGCAAATTTTAAGTCACTATAATTTTTCAAAAAACCCATCAACTGATTTAAAATTTTGCAGGTAGCTTTTTAATAGTAATAGGAATCTATAATAACAAATTCAACATGCTAGCATTGTTTAAGTATGTAGCCTATACGTCCTTAATTTCGTACAGGCTCGTATATCAGCCTTTTATACATGTATCTACGATAAAGAACTGTTATTGTAATAGTGTTGTAACCAGACCACTTTAACGAACCATGTTCGGAAATTTAAGTAGACGCTACTTAACTTTGTGTATTTTATACTGCCACGTTTCATTGTTTGTACTTTTGTAGTATTTTTCATACGAGCATCTTTTTATAAATGCGCAAACGAAATATCTACTCAGGAACGGAAGAAAACTAGTTACTTAAAAAGGCGACGAACACGTGTAATATGTTTTTCTACAAACAAAAAAACCGACTTGACATCGCGATACACGAAATAAGGAACCGTGGATCAACTTTTTGTTATCGGATAACTTTCGCTCTCGCCTTGGAGACTTCCCACCTATCTCGCTCCTCGTGCTAATTTTTAATTTATTTATTCTCCTCTCATATTCGATTATCGCGAATCGATCATACATATACATATATATAAAGATATAAACGCGTACACGTTCAATGTAGATTTTCTTGTACATTTTCTATATAATATATATAAATTATATACGTATTAAGGTATATATTCCTTTAGCGATAGCTGATATCGTTAGCGACCATGTTATCGCCAGACTGTGGATTTTTATGCTAATCCAAACTTATCATTTAATCGACCAGCGACTATTTTTTTTTAAATATTCTCGATCTAAACGATCTCATTTAAATGCCGCGAGATCTTTTACACTTTGCTAACTATAGTTTTGCACATTATATACGGACTGCATGTGTGATTTTTTTCACTTTTTATAAACGCACAAAAATCCGCAGCCTATTAAATATACCTTGACTCCTAGGTATTATAGTTAATTGTAGCGCTGAATAAATAAATGGTAGCGATCGTCGATCAAACATAGAGGCTAAGCTCTGATTTAAAAACAGTTAATCGTACTCCTACGACAGAAACGATCGGTCTCTACTTAAATGAACTTAGACATAATTAACAGAAACGGTGGCTACAAAAAGTATTTGTACAGCGATAGTACACTGCTTTACATGATATGCAGCACTGCGTTCGTTTTATACATTATTTAATTACGTACGTCTCGTAATTAAATAAAATATATTTAGAATTCGTTCGATCGATTGGAATCACGCCGATTTTAATTGGAAATACACACTTTTTGTAGCCTCTGATATAGAATAAATGAACGTATTAACAACCCTGTTGTTTTGTAATCGGAGACTTTTAGTTCGCTACTCGGTTCATCGCATTTATTTATTAACAATGCGCTTCGCTCGCGTCGAGTGAGAATTTCGTACAAAAGAAAAATCACCTTTGAGATACACGTGCGACGTAGTATGTATATGTACATATCCAGAAACGGCGAGGATGATTTTTTGCAACTTGGTATTGACCGCCTATCGGCGACGATCGTTTTCGTCATATGAAAATAGGAAAAGGCTGCGAGTGCCAATTTCTCTCCTCAAGTTGCTTTCAAATAGAGATTTCACAGGACTAATCACCGGCTGTATGTACTGAATCTCATGAACAATGCAATTTAGTCACCTCTAACTTTTTCTCATTTACCATTCGTTCATTATTTGATTGTATTGTATTTTTGTTCCTTCTTCGACACTTTCATTGTTTGTGGGATTATAAAATATCGAACCGTGAATTTCTATGCAAAATCAAATTTTTCTGTTTTGTAAAATAGCTAAGTAGAAATTTGTTTAACGGTCCAATCTTTGGTTTGAATATCCTTGATATCTGGCGGTGCATAGAAATTCGTGGTTCGAAGTATCGTAGAGATTATACTTAAAGATGTAATAAGGCAATATAAGTGTGCTAAACATCGTAAATCCGCAATACTATAATTATTAGTAACGATATCACTGTTGTACCGAGATTACGCGATTACGATTTAGATTCGATTTATATAAATTATTATATAAGTGTAACGTTGTGTATTTGTGGTGTAATAAATGTGATTAGTTGTACGAATAATGAGACGGTTGTATCAATTATTTCCCCCGTCCTTGTAATTGTAAATTCGAGCAAAAATTCATTGCGAATAAAACATTGCAGCCTCGAGACTAATAAACGATTTTAATTTACCTTTTGCCGAAGAATTTGACAAGCTGTACCGACCAGCAGAGAAACCAATCTTCGAATTTGCCTTTTGAAAACATTTACACGAATTACAACACTATTTACACTGAGTAAACGCAAAAATTTCGGACGATTCACTCGAAGAGACGCCATTACTAGTTTGACTTGAAAACTGCGACGCGGTTAGTAACGAAGTTTGAATCGTATGTATGTGAAACATTTGTCGTACGCGCGCGCTTTTCGACAATCGACAATCGCTGGACAACCGACGCTGGCACTTTCGAATTGTCACGTGCGATATAAGTCAACTTACACGTAGAAGAAAGTAAAAAAGCACGTAAGTTTAATATCGATTATTTATTTTCCTACGTAATTATCTCCCCCAATTTCGTCGTATCGTCGTATATCGTTAATTTGAATGATAAATTCAATGTTTATTAAGTTGGTAACATTGTAAATTTTGCTCCGATCGTCATATATTTATATTTATTATATACACTTACTCTTCGTAAACAAGATATTCAGATATAATGGTGTTGATATTTTACGAAGTCTAATAACAGTTTAACAAGATTCAGGTACGTCTTATAAAAATATCTCATATTGTAAATAAGAGAATGTACTACGAGCAAGAAATTTCAATTTTCAAGGCACTCTTTTGGTAGTTAAACCTTCTCAACATGACTGCTACACCTAAGCGAATCCAAGGATGGGTCCTTGAAAAGGTCTTAGGTACTGGTGGATTTGGTAGTGTTGAACTTTGGGCGGAAACGAGCACCGGTGCAAAATTAGGTCAGTTCCCTTTGAAAGAAATGACAAAATTCAAATGTCAACATCGTTCCAAAAATTTTCGAAATAACAACGTAGAGATGTCAAATAATATGACAGTTTGATCAAATAATATATTACATTCTGCAGCAATTAAAATATGCAAGAAAGACATTGCACTGTTGTCGGATGCACAAAAAGAAAGATGGTTCAAAGAGGTACAGATAATGAAACGATTAAATCATCCAAATATTATAAAAGTTTTAGAATTACCCTTCGCACACCCTGACGATAAGATAGATTTACCTGTACTCTGTATGCAATTTTGCAGACAAGGTGATCTGAGAAAGGTGAATTAATGACATAAAATATGAAATCAGAACAATGCTACTTCTTTATTGATATAATTCTAGGTGTTGAACAATCCAAAAAATTGTTGCGGAATGAAAGAAAGAAATCTAATGAAAGCAATGAAACATATATCATCTGCAGTAGAATATCTCCATTCGTATAACATTACTCACCGTGATTTAAAGCCTGAGAATATTGTTTTACAAGATGAACGCGGTACTGTAAGTAACGAGCTAGAAATTAACATCGTTCCAGGGTTGGAACCGATTATTCTCTACGGAGATGAACATTTCAGATTTCGTACAAGTTGATAGATTTAGGATACGCGAAAGAACTCGGCGAGGATAGCACGTCGGGCTCTTTGGTCGGTACGTTGAATTACGTGGCTCCAGAATTGTTGTGGCAAGAGAAGTACAACTGTTCCGTGGATTATTGGAGCTTGGGAATACTTTTTTATGAACTAGTAACCGGCATAAGGCCGTTTCTGCCGGGAATGCAACACACCATGACTTGGTGAGTTAATTAATCAGATTAAAAGCCTAATTTTAATTGTTAACTGACTGAAACGCTTGGTAATTTAGGATGCAGCTGATCCGAAATAAAGGATACGACGATATCTGCGCTTTTAAATCGGAAGGAAAAGTAGTTTTCGGTCAAGACATCTCGAGTCCTACAAATTTATCAAAGTAATGAGTATACAAAAGAGTCACGGTATGAAAAAATATACGTAATGTTGCACTTTTTTTAAATTAGAAATCTACAAAGCAAACTAGTGGACTGGTTTAAACTTGTGTTGCAATGGCATCCGAAAAGGAGGGGAAAGCGATTAACCGAGAACGGACTGTCTGAAGTGCTGGTATTTAAATTGCTAGACAAGATTTTATCAAAAGAGGTAATTTGATATACGTATACAACATTTTAATCGATCCAGCAAACAACGGAGAGTCTCTGCGTTTGTATAATATCAGGCTTGTTCGCCGTTGTAAAAGAACAATCCCCTTTCTCTTTAGATGATTTACGTATTTTCGGTGTCTGAGTATAAAGTCGATACTTACGAAGTAGATGAGAACACTACGATCACCCGTCTGCAAAATATGATTGCAGAAATTAATGAATTCTTACCAGTGCCTCTTCAAACGTTGACAGATTATCATGGTGACGTTCTCGTCGAGAACAAAACACCTCTTCTGTCGCAAATCAAGGTAGATTTTAATCAATACTTCGTATCATTTTTCATCGTTCCGTACATACATGTTTATTCAACTGCCGCAGAAACCAATTCTGTTCGTGTTCAGAAACGAAACTCCTTTGACAGAGAGTATACCGGACCTAGATATTCCCGTCGAAATTCGTAAAATGATTGACCTATCGCGAAGAAAATTGGACATCGAAATATTGCAAGATTATTACCGAGTCACGTTATTTTTCATGAAGCAACAGATATATTTGTTCAAACTGTACATGTATGCTTTAACTATAAAAGCGTAAGTGTTCTTCCTCCGATTTTCAACAAATCAGATCGATCATGAATAAAATGATTGAATATAAAACTGCAGGGATTTGGTGATCGCGAGACTTAAGGCATTTTACGAGAGTATAACCAAGTCTTTGACAAGCATAAATTCTCTTTGCAACGAATTGTCCAAGATACGTGTCACGTGGGAAAAAGAAGAGTCTTTGGATGATTACGATAAGAAACTGAAAAAGCTCGTCACTGCTGCAAACAAGATCAAATCGCAATTCAATCCGTCGAAGCAGGAGAACGAATTGAGGACCGCGGGCGAGACGCTCGCTTCCATAAGGCAAAACATGTCAGACGTGTAAGATGAAGTTATATTCGATGTCGAAAGTTGAGATTAGAATATTACAATTGGGACAGGCACTCCTCTTTTTTATTTAGATATGATGAGGCTGCGCAATTGTACACACTGTGTAAAAATGAACGGCTGCATTTCCGAGGCGCAGAGCCAATAGAAATGGTCAAGTTAGTATTCGAGTTCATGCAGGCGCACCCGATACAGTCTCATAACGCGAATGTTTTTAATATTGTCAAGTAAGTAACAAAACGTTTCACAACGTTTTACGTTGTATAAGTAAATCGAGAAATACGATCCCATGAATGGACCTTTCAGACAGATATCGAAACTCGAAAAGGATCTCGCAACGTACGAAAGGATTTTTAATTCGGTCGTTGTTATCACGGAAGTGTACCAAAATAAATTGCAAGACATTATCAGTACCGCGATATCTGATAAAATTGATAGCAAGAAAAGATCGAACTCGTGTGTCTCGACTCAAATTGGAGATGAGAATCCAGATACATCGAACGAACAAAAGGCATCGATCGAAAAGAAACAAGTTATAGACAAGGAGAACGACGTGATATACGAGAATCTGATAATACGTTACACGTATGTTACAGTTTTTCTATACGTAAACCGAAAAGTGGAAAATGTTTAATGATTAATAGAAATATAGTCTCCGTATTAGTTAGCTTGAAATAAATATTATAAAATACCTTTAATTTTCACCAGATTGGACAATCTCATGAAGGAAATGAAGAGATACATAGATGCATTTAGTCTCCAGCCACAGGTGTGAATAATGTACGTATTGACATGCAAAACTTAATCTCTTACTCTCTTTTAATTATTTAACTGGTCTCGGAACGTAATGACGCACGCCCCACTTAATATTCGCGTTCTTGTCCGTTTTAAGGTACGAGTACGTGGGTCCGTTTGCCATACTCTTTTTTCTCATCCTCCATCTAGCAGACTTCGATGCCGATGAACAGTCTAAACCAAAATGAAAACTACGAGAGTGTTGTTATGATACGTGTCTAATTAAGATGTTTTATACGTTGAGACTTACCTATTTCAGTTGTCAAATACAGAAAGAAAATAATGATTATCTAAACGAAAATTGATAATTATTTCTTTACATATACAATACACAATTATGAGTATTACGCTTAAATTTTAATCGAACTATACTCACGACATAAATGCCAAAGGCTTTCATTGTGATAGTCTCAGGAACGCAACACTGACCGATTCTAAGAGAAAACGGTTCTGTTTTGTTCTTTATATATAGCTTAGAATTAAGAAGCAAAAACGTTGCACGGTTCAACGAGTACAAACACTGGAACTGTCCACACCAGACTTTCACTCAATCAGATCAGTTCGATTTCACTCCGTGATCCTACGAACGTTGATTTACAAAAATTAGGAGAAGTTTTAAGAAACGGGTACGTTACGTATTTTAAAATGTATTCTTATCAAAAAAACTGTATATACATCCTAAACTGAGGATTAAATAACGATGTTAAAATAAATATTGATTCTTCGCTTTGTTTTTCACAATTATACTTTCTCCTTCACTGAAAGATTCTTAACACACCGTCTACTATTATTTCATTTTTCTTCTTTATCTAGATTGTCCACGTACATCAACCATCAATTATGCAAGTTTCACAGTATGTATAAAAGTTCGGTCGTGTATGTATGCATGTCTGTATGTTTGTGTGTATCCAAGTTTAACACTCAACAAATAAAAAAAGAGGAAAAATACGACGATTCCTTCCTTAAACATAGAAATATTATTCATTGTCACTGATATCTTCGTCGGTTGTGTACTCGGAATGTTCGTCGGCCGCGTCGATGTCCTCTGCAGTCTCCTCGTCTGAAATATCCCACTGAGGATGTTCCGTGGGTATTTCCGGCGCTTCTTTCACGTCCAACTGTAAATACAAATCCCAAATTGTTTCGACTGTTTCTTAAAAATGATTTATTTCGTCTCGTCCGTACTTGGTAAAATGGGATTTACCTTGATGTCCTGGGCCTGGTCGAAGCCCAGGTAGGAATCGCTACGCATACACACGGTGAACGTGTAGACGCCGGGCCACCGCGGCGCGGTGAACTTCAACTGGACTTCCTCGAATTGCGCTAACGACGTAACGTAAATAGGCGTTGTTAGTAACGTTCGACTCTTCCGGTCGCAGATGTAGACCCACCAGTATTCCTGTTTAACGTCCGGAAACAGGGGACAGTGCACTTCGTGCGATATATTGCTCCTACCCTCCAACACTTTCTCCCTCTTTGAAATCCTTTGCTGAAATCTGATTTCACGTGCGTTTAAATTAAATCAGGTGATCGCAACAAATGAAATCGTTTACCTTTCCCATTCGGTGTCATCGTCGTCGACGGACATGTCCTTCTTCTCCTGACTGTCTTCATCGTTACTTCTGTCGCTGTCCACGTCGCTGTCACTGACGTCCGACTTGTTGTCTCTGGAAGACTCTTTATCTTTGTCGTCCTTTTTCCTCGAGTTGGGAGTGTTCGCGTTCTGTTGAGCATTATTAACAGCGTTCTTTGCGGAGAACTTTTTGCTAGGACCCTTCTTGTGTGACTTCTTCTGACCCTTCTTCTGTCTGAGCCACGCGGGCTTCTTCGCGGCTGTCTGATTATTCTGTTCTTCCAACACTTCCTCGCCACCTTCGTTGTTGCCCGGTTTACTATCGTCGATCAACGTCTGCTCTTCGACGGTGTCATCGCCGAACAGATGCCTCATGTCTCTCCGAGTCAACGACACCGTCACAGTAACGACAGCGCCAGCGGTGTACACGGTCGGGTTCTCGTCATCGATCACTAACAAAAACAATGACCACTTCGTAAAAATATTTAAAACGTGCGTTCTCAACACGTGTCCGAAATCTTTACCTTCGGATCGCACTTTGAATTCTATGTACGGCATACTACCAAGCACTTTCATCACATCCTCATATTGACTGTCTGACAAATGTTTAAGTATCAGTCTTCTCTCTTCTCCTTTCAATTGTGCAAACTGTTGAAGACTTTTGATTTGATGCTGGCGGGAACAAATATTCAATTGATTGTATGCGAGATAATAAAATAAAGAGAACGCGTGGATATGCACGTACCTTTTTTGGTAAGAAACATTTTAAATTATCCTCGGTTATATGCGGTAACTGTAACATCGGGCTCTTGTGTTCCCAAAGCGCTTGCACTATCATCGCGCACAGTTTCATGCAATTCTCCACTGTTTTTATAGTCGGCAGATGAGGAACTGAAAAAGATAAATATTTGTCAGAATTGAATCATTATAAAATATTTCTTTACGTCTCACCTTTTTTCGCGTAAGCCAACAGAATCACTCGGTTCACGCAGGTTACCATCTCTTGGATTAAATAAGGACATTTTTTCACTATGTACTGTTTATCTTTTTCTAATGTTTCCGGATTTAGCGGTATTCGCGCCAGGTGCGCGTGAATCAAAGCTTTGGCTTTAATCGGGTATAGGTCGCATAACGTTTTATTCTTTGCTTCTAGATCGGGCAACTGTTTAATAAGCTGAAAACAAAATAAATAAAAAATGTAAGCGATTCATTCGTACTGGCGACTTTAACTTTAAATAACTCACCGAATAAACTTCTTCACTGTCGGTGTACCTTTCGACTATCTCCGCGTTTCGTTTTTTATTGAACTCGGACGAGGCGGCGAGGATCATTACAACTTTCTTCAAAGACGTCGAAGGACATTGGATAAAAGAAACGTAATACAACTCTGTAGTTGCCAATAGTACCTAAAGAGTCAATGAAAAGTTTTTGGTTAAAACGAGCCTAAACGAGGTTAAATTTCGTTGAACGAAATTGAACAGAAAATATTTACTTGGTCACCGGTGTAACGAATGCTTTTGTACCACCACATCCCAACAGCAGTCGGCAAAACGAACATGAACACCAGCGAATAAAATCCCAGCACCCAGACCGAGTTCTCCTTTTCGACTATCCAGGATGGCAAAGCTATCCCGAAGCTCATTGCACCCGGGCCATCTGGATTTCCATACTTTTCCCAGTTCTTCCGTGCTTCGTCGTCCGTCAAAGCTTGGAAAGCTGTAAGAAACAAACGATGAACAACAATGCCTATCATAAGCATTTGTTATCATTACCTTTAGTCAATTTCATGAACGCTTTCTCGTTTCCTGTCTCTTTATCCGGATGTAGGATCAAGGAGAGTTTCCGGTATGCTTTTTTAATATCATTTTGAGACGCGCTCTATGAATGACAAACCAATGAGTCGTGTTTCTTCTGGTTGAAAATCACTGAATTTACTTACCGAGGTAACTCCGAGTATTTCGAACGGATCGAAATTCGCCATTTCGTAGTCGAATTGGGACACTTTGTACGTCAAGAAAATGAGAACTACCCATCCCAGAATGATAAGAAATTTGCTAGAACGTTCAACAAGTTTTACGTGAACAGATTACTACAAAATAGTTAGTATAATAATGTAATTCAAATGCTGTTGCTCACTCAAACAATGCTCTAGTCTCTTTCCAAGGTTTGTTCTGTCGTAGGATAACTTTCTTCTTTTTACATCCATCGCACTGGCACTCTTTCGCTTCTTGATCTGGATCTAAATAAATATATTAATATTGTTAGTCGGTTTTGTTAGTTAGTTTTTGTCGGTACTTTAAAAGTGTTTATTAAAGATGGAACCAAAATCATTGCTCCAAATGTGTTCGAATATAAATATTCCTTAATTGTTGCGAATAAAAATAGATGCTCGCACAATTATTAGTTTCGAGTATAGAACGTCGAAAAATATGATATAAATTAAAAGGACGAATGGATAATTAGTCGAAGGAGCCGTGTAAAATTCTTGAAGCAGCATCACCAAGTTTCAAGTTAAAGAACAGCACACGTGTAATTATCGAACTTTTTATTCACGATTACATACCAAAATGTTCCGTTATCGAGCTTGTTAGGCATCTGATAACGGGACCTTCGTAATTAAACGGTAATCAGTATTCGCTCGGAAAATTACGAAGTGGCTCACACAAAGGGATTATGCAAATGAACGGTGGACATACTCGAGCGCGGTATCATTCGTTAATTAACTCGAAAACCGAATAAGATGAATGATCATCCTCTAACCTTGTTTGGGGCAACGTGGCCAGAAGTAATACGTCACTGGTATCTGCAGCAAAGCGGAGAACGATAATAAAAAGTAGAAAAACGTCCCGCCGCTCTCGTCATATTGGAACTTTTGCCCGCTCATGGCTCATTAAGTAAAGATCTGTTTTAAGTATTATCGTTTAAGTACACTCATCCTACTGCACTTTGAGCCCGCACTTTGAATTCAACCTAATATGCATGTATATACCATTCGTTTAATGCACATACGTATGCACATACATGTACAACAGTTTGATACACGACGACACAACGACACAACTCAAACTTGTCGCCGTCAAGACTGCCAACTCAGCACCAGACGCCAGAGGCTCGTCCTTTTTGAGTTTAGAATACCCGCGTGGAGCGAACGTCACCGAGTTTGCTTATATGCACTTGTGTAGGCACGACCATGTGTCTATATCCGTGTACGATTATGACAAAAAATATGATCAAATACTTTTCGGAGAATCACAATATTCACAATCTTAGGGCATATACTATAGTACATGTACAGATGGAGTATATGTGTAAGATGTTAACTGTCAATCAGTTCAGTTTACACCTGCGCAGGTGCACGCGATCTTATTTTCTAAATGGAAAAGAAATCTTATTTTCAGACGGAGAAAACCTCCGTACAGCTAGTAACAACGAAAATGAGCCAGCTATGTACATGTGTAGTTTCCCCTAGGGGACAAAATTCAAAACGGCTCCAATATTGCTGCACCTAAGAGAAAAACGGGTTCGCAGCCGTGAACGCTAGATGGCGCCACGATGAACTCCAAATTTATCGGAGCCATACAGCTTCGCGGCCATGAACGCTAGATGGCGCCACGAGCAACCCCAAAATCATTTTAACCTACGTTTTAAAATGTTAATTAACCTAATAATTGATTAAATAATAAGTAAATGATACAATGAACGAATAACGTTTATTATTTTTATAATTTACACCGTTCCTGTATTTTCACATTCCCTTTACATTCAATTTCAAAATAAAATTACATCAGTAACTATTTATCCAGACGTAGGTTAAAATTGTTTTTATTTTGACGTGTCAAACAATATCGACCACAATTCTATAAATGCCTGATCGAGCATTGAAAATATAAGATGTACACTTATTTGTATGCGTATACGTACATACATTTGTGTTGATCATCTCACACATATATGATTACTAGAGACCTGAAGTTAAACCCCATTCAATTGTAAATAAGGATCGTGTATCTTACGGTCAAGATGAGTGGCACAGAAGAGAATAAAATAGAGTTTAAAAAACGATCGAAGAAACAATTAAGGAAGCGACAAGTTTCTTCAGACGAAGATGAAAACGAAAATGAAGAAACATCTGTCAGGTAAATAAATCGGTATCCATAAAATAAGTAATAGTTATGAAGCAACAAGCCAATTTAAATACCGATTTAATTGACAGATCATTTATTTATTTAGAGAAAAGGTAGAAGAGATGAAGATTATACAGAAACTTCGTGAGAGACCGAAGGGAGTAAACGTAGTTGGATTAGCTCTTGGAGAAAGCATGACACCCGACGTTATGACTGTAAGCTTAATCACTACGTACAATTGATAAACAATACAAAGTTCCTTGAAGATTTTCTGCTTTTACAGTCTGATCCTTTCAACGTGAAAACTGGTGGAATGGTAAACATGGCTGCATTAAAGAATACCAAATTAAAGCAGAACGATGCTTACGAGACAGGGATTGGCACGCAGTTCAATGCTGAAACCAATAAACGAGATGAAGATGAGGAGATGTAGTTATTAGAACATTGTGTGACGATTAAACGTTTAATAAGCTAATTCATTAAGCTTATTTCGATTTTCTCAGGGTGAAGTACATTGAAGAGGAATTGTCAAAGAGGAAATGCAAGAATGAGGACAAGACAGAAAATGGAACTAATAATGACAAAGGATCTTATTGTTCACCGGAAGAAGCAGCTTTGCAAGCAGTTCCTGAGCATTTGAGGCAAAGCTCAGCACACAGAAGCGAAGAGATGCTTTCTAATCAAATGTTGTCTGGTATCCCAGAAGTGGACCTTGGAATAGAGTAACATCTTTTGCATAATTACTGTGCTACAGTACAACTTAGAAGATTTCTTATTTGACTATCAATTATATTTCCAGAGCAAAAATTCGTAATATTGAAGCTACAGAGGAAGCCAAATTGAAATTACTTTGGGACAGGCATAGAAAGAAGGATGGCCCCTCGCAATTTGTGCCGACGAACATGGCTGTGAATTTCGTGCAACACAATCGATGTACGTTATACATGTACCTTTTAATTAGAGCTACGCTTTGACATAAGCTTATTGTTTCCTGTTTTGCTTTTAGTTAATATAGAAGATGCGGATATCCAAAAATCGAAACAGGATGCGGACGACAGGAAAAAAGTAGCAGCGCCTAGAGAAGATTACAAAGGAAAAAGGAAAGATAATGGAGAGAAGGCGACTGACGATTACCATTATGAAAGATTCAAAAAACAGTTTAGGCGATTCTAATATTACATGTTTGACGCGTCAACGTATTATAAAACATTATTTGTAAATAAAAATATTTTAAAATGCAGCTACACGTTTAATCATTGTGCGTGTATGTGTGTGTGTGATTTTATTCATTGCAAACCCGGCATAAGGTACGATACGATCTCAACTCGGCAGAAGAATGACGACATCGTAGTATAGCGACGTCAATTGACCAGTAGAGGGATTACGGTGACATTCGATCCCTTTAAACTTTGCAGCGACTATTTGTTTTCCCTTTACGCGTTTTAACTATGAGCTGCGGATTCGTAACTTGCGGCCCGAACGAGGCACTCGTGGTGTCAGGTAACCGATTTCTATTGCAAATCGCTCGCTATCCTAGTTTCATCAATCAACGGTACAACATGGGAGGAGTAGTTTGCCAATTAATTGATTTGTTATACTTAGTTCGTAACAAAGCGGGGGTGTTAATTATTCGTTAATTACGTTCGATTACCTTCGGATATTCAACTTTCACCTATGTTTATCGTTCAATTAACGATGCGCGGGTTCCTCGTGTATTTCAAGTGAATTTAAAATGCTGGAATTGGAACTTATTTCGTCTATTATTGTTCAAGGATGCTGCTACAGCAAGCCTCTGTTGGTGCCTGGCGGCAGAGTATTTGTCTGGCCTATCGTCCAGCAAGTACAAAAGTAGGTGTTTAAACTTCAATTAAATAAGTGTTTATAAAAGATCTGATAAAAAAATCTTTTTAGAATTTCATTAAATACTATGACTTTACAAGTAGAAAGTCCAACGGTATATACGTGCCAAGGAGTACCGATATCGGTGACAGGAATTGCACAGGTAAGACCGGTTCGTAAAACAATTCTGTATAAATGAAATACATTTATATATAAGTAATTATGTGTGTTCAAAGGTGAAGATACAAGGACAGAACGAAGAGATGTTATCCACGGCGTGTGAACAATTTCTTGGCAAGACCGAAGAAGAAATCCATAATATCGCGCTTGTAACTTTAGAAGGACACCAGAGAGCAATAATGGGAAGCATGACTGTAGAGGTATAAATAGATATCATATGATTTTTGTTCACCCATCTATCGTGTGAAAATGAATATCAAACGTTTTTGTATTTTAGGAGATATACAAAGATCGTAAAAAATTTAGCAAAGAAGTATTCGAGGTGGCAAGTAGCGACCTGGTCAACATGGGCATTACCGTTGTGTCGTACACGTTAAAAGATATTCGAGACGAGGAAGTAAGTCGATCCTTCCTCAGTTAAAAGCTATTCATGTTACTGAAAAACTTAGGAAGAACCATGAAAAAAAAAAAGTACAGAGAACCGAGAATGAGATGATACGTGAAATCAATTTTAAAAGTCCCCCTTTAAGTGGTTGTGCGATAACTATAAGCAATTTTTTTTGTTAATATGTATACATATATATGTATGAGTTAATGTAGCCTTGTACATACAGTGTAAAATATTGAATACATTTTTGTTTTGCTACTTTCAGGGGGCAAAGGTACGTTCAAATTTTGCTTTATCACTATTATACAATGCCAATGCACTGCTGTTCGAAAAGATATTAATACAAATTGATATTCGAATAAATGGGAGAGTTAGAAGCAAGCTTCGACGGTAGCGCAAATTCTCAATATGCATAATTTACTAAATACATGCGATATTTTTGTCTGCTATCTTGTAACTCGGGCTGAACTCGAATTCAAATTCATTGAAATCTGTGTCGTTATTTGTAAGCTCTTAACGGGAAGGTAGGAGGTCCGATAATTGTACTTAACGATGGTTCGACGATTATTTATAGGGATACCTGAAAGCTCTCGGTATGGCACGAACGGCTGAAGTGAAGCGCGACGCGAGAATCGGAGAGGCAGAAGCTCGTAGAGATGCTCAGATCCGCGAAGCTATTGCCGAGGAGCAGAGGATGGCTGCGCGTTTCCTCAACGACACAGACATCGCTAAGGCGCAAAGAGATTTCGAGTTGAAGAAGGCAGCGTACGACGTCGAAGTGCAAACCAAAGTAAGTGTCACCTTATTTCGGTATTCGTTGATCGGCCGTTAATTGTTTTGACGTGCTTAATTAATATAGAAAGCGGAAGCGGAAATGGCATACGAATTGCAAGCTGCGAAGACTAAGCAAAGAATCATGGAAGAACAGATGCAGATAAAAGTGGTAGAACGTGGACAAGAAATTGCTGTTCAAGAACAGGAGATGATGAGACGCGAAAGGGAATTGGATGCGACCGTGCGACGTCCAGCCGACGCTGAGAAATATAGGTAAATTGTAAAAGAGAAATTGATAAACGAAAGTTAATTAATATTGCGCGCTACAGATTAGAGAAGATGGCCGAAGCTAACAAAATGCGTCAGGTAATGGAGGCTGAAGCCGAGGCAGAAGCCATCAAAATTCGCGGAGATGCAGAAGCCTTCGCCATTGAGACGAAGGCCAAGGCAGAGGCGGAGCAAATGGCAAAGAAAGCTGCTGCGTGGAACGAATACAAGAGTGCTGCTATGATCGATATGATGCTCGATACTCTTCCAAAGGTAACGCACATTTTAATCGTCCCCTCATCGATTGACGTTTATAACACGTTATATTTCACAGGTCGCAGCCGAGGTCGCGGCACCTCTTTCGCAGGCGAAGAAGATCACGATGGTTTCCAGCGGAAATGGAAACATCGGAGCAGAAAAACTGACGGAAGAAGTGCTTAACATAGTTACACGCGTACCAGAATTGGTGAAGAATTTAACAGGCGTGGACATTGCAAAGGTACGTCCAATTACATTTGTTTGAAGTACACGACGAGTACAAGTAATTGTTTCTTTTTCCAGTCTGTTCACGCTGGTTAAGGAGATGGTACGTGAGTTTTATGCTGTCTGACCACGTTCATAAGATATTTAACGAGTCTTTGATACACACGTTTATTTCGATATGCTGTTGCATATTAGAATCAATTTGATAAGTTTTAACTTCGATGACGTTTCGTTGAATAAAACGTTCGGTACTTTCACTGCCAATTAACAAAATATGAACAGATTTCGATTAGCGTCAATTTTAAATGGATATTTTCTTAAAAAGAAGTATATATTCAAATTGGTGTAATCGGAAATAGATTGTAAATTCGTTCGCACAATATTTGTATCTCATCGTTCAACAGTATGCAATAGATAGACGAGCAGTGAATGGCTCAGTTAGCCAGGCAGTGAATTTGTATTTTATTTAATCTGAGGCTTATCGTAGCGTATTAATTTTCTCGTATACTCGGTTCGAATTCGTACGTAAGTTTTAAGTTTCTTATTTTTTTAATTAAATCTTCTATGCACTTAGAGAAAAAGAGAGATAAATATATCTTTTTGAGTCTCGTATTGACCAAAACTGGTCCAGTCTTGTCCATATATATCTTTGCCACTATGTGCCGAAACATTCCTCTAAACATGCTACGCATACCTTTCAACTATGTGGATATAATTAATGGGTATGAGCATTTTAGAAATGGAAATGCTGATATTTAACTTGTTCTATGTGGTTTGATGTTTAAGTAACTATGCCTAGTCTTCGAAGTCCAAATGCTGGTAACGTTTAGTTCCATACTCGGTATTTTCCTTTAAAAATGCGTCGATGGATGTTTTGCGTCGATTTTAGCTAGAATTCACTGTGATCTAAGAAAACTCTTTCTATACGAACAAAAAACGGATAGTCATAGTTTTCGAGAGCTCTGACGACAAAATTTGTATGACCAATTTAACGCCTTAAATTGACGAGGAAAAAAGAGATTCCATTTTATGTAAAGCGATTAAATCATTTAACGTTAAAACCAAAAAAGTGTCGCTCGTTCAATTGACCCACCCTATAATCGAAAAGAAAAGCGGAAAACAATAGAAGTTTAAGATAAACGTCGTGCTAAATGGAAGCTCGCGTTAAATGTGTTTATTTACACAAATTCTCATTGCTTCTGTTTCTTATGTTAGAAATATAATAAATGGTTTAGAAAGAAGTAGAAATAAACTTGAACAGCTGAGAGAAAGGGGAGGAAGATCTGTTCAGAGAATCGTCACGACATTATGGTTCATAGTTTGAAACGATTTTATCAGTGCAAACTACAATTCGTCTCTGAAGATCCGTGTGTCCCTTGAAAATTTACGACATGGACACGTATAAGTCATTTTTAGTAGATTTCTTAGCCGGTGGGATATCTGCGGCCGTTTCGAAGACTGCAGTTGCCCCGTTAGAGAGGGTCAAGTTGTTGCTCCAAGTTCAACACACCTCGAAACAGATAAGGCCGGAACAACGGTACAAAGGTAATTGTTCGTTAATGAAAATCGATTCCGATTTCATTTAGCTCTTGAATTTAATCAGGCATGATGGATGCGTTTGTACGCATACCGAAGGAAACGGGTTTTCTCAGTTTCTGGAGAGGCAATCTGGCTAACGTAATTCGGTATTTCCCCACTCAAGCATTAAACTTTGCATTTAAGGACAAGTTCAAGGCTCTGTTTTTAGAAGGTGTCCCGAAGGATGCATTTTGGAAACAGATGGCTGGAAATTTGGCCTCTGGTGGTGCCGCCGGGGCAACGTCCCTTCTATTCGTTTATCCCCTCGATTTTGCTCGCACAAGGTGATGCGTATCATCGTTCTGTACGTAGAAACGATATTGTAACGATACACGATTTATAGATTAGCGGCAGATATTGGAAAGGCAGAAAGACGAGAATTCAAAGGTCTGGGTGATTGCATAGCAAAAATTTTCAAAACGGATGGGTTCCTCGGACTTTATCGTGGTTTCAGCGTGAGCGTCCAAGGAATCATTATCTACAGAGCCGCGTATTTCGGATTTTATGACACCATGAGAGGGATGCTCCCTGATCCGAAAAACACACCTTTCCATATCAACTTTATGATCGCTCAAGTAAGCTGTTCGTCAAATGATTAACGCATTCACTGTTTAAACGCGAAATTACTTGCAGGCAGTAACGACAACGGCTGGAATTATATCATACCCCTTTGATACAGTTAGAAGACGGATGATGATGCAGTCAGGTCTTAAAAAAGGAGACGTGATGTATAAAAACACGTTAGATTGTTGGGTGAAGACGATGAAAGGCGAAGGTGTCGGGGCTTTCTTTAAAGGTTCACTTTCGAATATCCTTAGGGGCACGGGTGGGGCATTAGTTTTAACGTTGTACGATAAAATAAAAGAATTGATCGAACACGCGATGGAGAAGGATGAGCCTGCTGTACCCAAATCGTCTTAAGTTACTTTCAATAAAAATTAAGTTTTATATAATCGTAATATCAATTATTGTACGAATTAAAATTGTTCATACCTGTAAAAATAACACATTTCAATACTTTATTGTTTGATACGTTGGTTTCAGAAAATTTTGGAATCACTAGTTACACATATAACGTTGACATACTAATTCTGGTGGCCCGATTTGTCGACATTTACTATTGAAATTATGTACTCCTGATTATCTGACTCAACGAGTCCTAAAATAATCCCAGAAAATTATATACAAAACTGTAAATGCCGTCAAATAAATGTCACGATCTTCTTAATCGTAATATTTAATTATTTCAAGAAACAGAACTGTACAGTTTCAATTAAGCATAGTGTGTCTATCGTAAATGTTACGTCTCTGCTCCTGAACCTGACGTTTCCACTTGTCTTGTTGATGACCAACACGATTTAGCACATTACCCCTTTCACCCATAGGATGAAACGAACCAGGAGCTGTCGAGGAATCGTCCTAACAAAATAGAAAATGTTTCAAGCAAACGTTGCTTACGACGAACATCGATAAACGTACCTCTTCATTATTATGTTCATGATAGCCAATATTTGTCGAAGCTTTATGAATTCTCTTATTTAGTAACGGATCCAAGCAAATCAAGAATAACATGTAAATTACTAACAGAGATATGACCCAAATAACAAGTATCACCACTATCTGAAAGCGTCAGTAAATTCATGAGCCTTACGTAAACAAGATGAGCGAGTTACTCGAACGCAACTTACTTTAATAATAGTGGTGTTCCTATTTTCATATTTGCAATCGCATCTCGAGCAAAAAATCTCTTCTTTACCTTTCAACTGATCACCCACTTTCGACAAGACAACGTTCTCGCATTTACTATGGATTACGATTTAAATGAATACATCTGTCACGCACGCGGGATTATCGTTTTTTAATTAGGATTTGAATTACCATTCAGAGGGTGGCACGTTTATAATGTACGATTTCCGTTCCGAGGACTGGGTTGTATTTATAACGGAGAGAAGACTCGGGCAAATGCATTTACATCGTTTGTCATCGTATTGCGCCTGCAATCAGGATTGTGTATGATTGATCTCATTACTCGAGAAGCCGTAAACTGCTCGCTCTAACCTCGGATTCTGACAAACTTATTAATATGATTGTGGCAACGAACAAAATATGCTTCAACATCTTTCCATTAAGCCTCTCATCCAGTACGTGGTCTCCTCTGCTTATCGTTTTAACGTACTCAACCGAACAATGCATAGAATAATTAATTCACTCGCATCTTATTTTCGCGAAGATGTCAAGACTGTCAATTGTCAACCAATGAACCAATGTCAACTTGCTTCGATCAGAGAGGAAACGGAACTGAAGGAAACGGGAGTGCGCACGTCCACCACTCCTCTTCACGGCGCTAGTGATCCTTCAGGTTTTAAACGTCAGCTAGTGCTTAAAAATCCCACGATACGGATATGTGCCCATCACTGGTGGGATGCAACTTTCCGTCAAAAGACTCGGCCAGGTTAACTTTCAATCGTGCGGCTTGGAAATTTGCACGTCAGCCAGCTGGCTTCTGAAGAAACTCGGATTCTACTTGTCAATATCTAATCCGTAAGTGTTTCGAACGTACACGTCGCACGTATGAATAATACAAAAGACTACCGCGAAGTATTTCACAATAACAGTTTCCCTTTAATTATTAGTCACTTCTCATACTTACGTTCACCGTCGTTGCGTCAAGTATAAATAAATGTTTAAAAAATCGCTCAGTGTTCTTCCTATCTATTACGTACGTCTTGAAAAATAATTAACAAAAAGTATAGAAGCGAATTTCCAACTACTCGAAACTTCGACACGTTCGATCTCAATTTCATTGCGTAATCTTTATATTGTTTACAGCTGCAATGTTAAACGTAGTTAACCATGAAATTCTTAGGGCGCACGAAAGAATATTTTTGATTAGAATGTTCACAGTCGATCTGATTAGTTACTTAAGGATAAAGTATTTCTTCCCGAACTGATCTTTCAACTTACAGATTTTGCTTTCGATTCATATTATTTCTTTTCACAGTTGGTCCAAGATGTCGAGCTCTGCTGAACGTTTAAATTATCAGGATAGCAGTAGCGATACAGAGACGGACAAAGAAACTGGTGGTAGAGGAAGGCATCGTATTTATAAGAATAGGCTGAGGTATTGTATTCATCGCGTAAGAGACGTAAACGAGAATAACGAGCATTATGAGAAAAGAAAATAGGGACATAGATATTTTAGACACTTTAGATATCATATTCCTCGCTTCATTTCCTAACTCATCGAAACAGGTATTTTTCGACGAGGAACTTTTATCGTTACGATGTAATTCGTCATTTACCATGTTGTTCAAAGACCATTTCGAAGTATATAGCATGTATCTGGGGATGCTATGCCGAATGTCGTGCATGTCAGTTAATTATTTCATTACCAGTTAGAGAAGCGAAACGATTTCATAAGAAACCATCTCGTAAACGTAATTTAAATGCATATTTTCCTCTCTCATTTGTGTTATATAAGTTTTTTGTGTGCGTAGATTTATTCCTATAGCTTTGTTTAATTTCATTTTTGTTCACATTCTCCGTCGATTAGCGATGACATTAAATGTTACGAAGAATCGAGAACTATTCAACTAAAAACTTATATCACAGTTAAGATGAAGTTCGCAACAAGACATTTGTGTACATACACTTACGATACATTCGTTGAACCGAATTAGTCGTGGCATTCAATTTTTGATAGATCGGTACACGATGCTTGTGTTTGAATGCAGATATTAGAAAGGTAACGTTGTTGTTTTGCATGTAGTTGTGGTGGCTCTTCAAAACCAAAATCTTGTTTGGTACAAAGGGATGGAAGCACTGAAAGGCACTGTCATTCCTACAATTCTGCCAGGCAAAATACTAATGTTAGCCAACAAAACAGGTAATATTCACGAACGAATGCAAAATAGCAAAGTATTATCTACGTACTCGAAACGTGTACACGAATGGTTTTAAGTTGAATAGTACAACGTAGAGTTCATTATTTTACACATTTATATGGATCCTATTCTTATTTCTTATATCGTATCGTACAAGAGTCCAGGCATCGGTATGTGAAAGGTAGGTGTTATCAGCGCATTCGATCGATACTTTCCATTGCTTTATACGTTTATCAGTGATCATTCCTCTGTTCCGTGTAGGTATTAATTGTTAAGTGATGTAGTCGCTTAGAACGTGTTTTTCTTCAGACTCTGCTCTGGAGTCGTCGTTGGGAAAAGTCAACAAACTCAAAATAGAGACATTTTACCATCGTCTGGATCTATTACCGGTATAAGTAATCCGCAGTCTAGCGATGAACGCCTCACTCTCATCGTCGACAACACTAGGTGAGCGACCGTGACTCTGAGCTGTTTGCACGATCATCACATGAGCGATACATTTTCTTCTCAGATTTATCGTCGATCCCGCCTTGTTCACGGCGCATCCGAACACGATGTTAGGTAGAATGTTCAGTTCCGGCGTAGAGTACGCCCAGCCGAACGAGCGTGGCGAGTACGAGGTCGCAGACGGCATATCGGCCATGGTATTTAGAGCTATTCTTGATTATTACAAGGGAGGCGTGATCAGGTGCCCGCCGACGGTCGCGGTTCAGGAGTTACGAGAGGCTTGCGATTACCTTCTCGTTCCGTTTGACGCAAGTACAGTGAAATGCCAAAATCTAAGTAAGTAGTTGTTTTCCATAAAATCATCCTAAAGAGTCGAACGCGATCGACGGAAGGAGTTAAAGACAGATGAGACGCGGACGTCCTAGAAATAAGATGATTCATTGTAGGAGGATTGTTACATGAATTGTCTAATGAAGGCGCTCGGTGCCAGTTCGAGGTGTTCTTGGAAGATTTAATACTACCGCTGATGGTGAACAGCGCGCGTAGGGGCGATCGCGAGTGCCACATCGTTGTTTTATTGGAAGACGACATCGTCGATTGGGACGAGGAATATCCACCGCAAATGGGGGAGGAGTACTCGCAGAGTGAGTTCTTTTACAATATTAAGATTCATGATATTGACCTTGTCACGGTGAATTAAATGAATAAAATAGAAAATCACTGACCACATCGGCCGTACTCTTAAACGTATTAAAGCTCGTTGTTTTCTCCCTCGACAGCTGTTAATAGTACCGCGATGTACCGATTTTTCAAGTACATCGAGAACAGAGACGTGGCCAAACAAGTGATGAAGGAACGCGGTTTGAAAAAGATTCGTTTAGGCATCGAGGGTTATCCGACGTACAAGGAGAAGATCAAGAAGAGAGCCGGAGGACGCGCCGAGGTAATCTACAATTATGTGCAGAGACCGTTCATTCACATGTCTTGGGAGAAGGAAGAAGCAAAGAGTCGACACGTCGACTTTCAATGCGTGAAATCTAAGTCCGTGACGAATCTCGCGGAAGCGACGGCCGACCCGGCACTGGACGCCGGTGGAAATCCGATAGCGATCGCGCTTCTGCAGGCGGATCCCGTTCCTCAGCCGGAAGTCGTGCTGCCGGTAGGCTCAGACCCCGATGTCGAAGGTGCCGTCGGTTTGCCGGTCGATCAAGAGCTTGGATCGATACCGCACGACGAGTTACCATGAACGTTGGCTGTACAGGTCCAGCTGGACAGGCACGGAACTCGACTACCAACTATTTACGGACTATTCTCTTCCTGCGTCAATTTCTAAACTTCGTCGGACTCGCTTGTCTCACGGTTTCATTTAATTGCGAAAAGTTCAGCTTGAAATTGTTCGTTTCGAAAGCGCTCGTCGCGTTTTACATATTTTTCTAAGCCAATTTATCGGAGTAAATGAATCTCTTGAAAGTGAACCGCGCGCTTCGGCTACTAAAAGTGGATTGAGCCAAGTCTGATTTTTGACACGTGACAGGTCAAAATATAGTGTAATTTTTATCGCATCTTGTGGATGTTCGACTAGTTTTAAATAAGTGTCCGCTGCGACTTTTTCAATTTTGTATCTGACGTTAAACGTTTCTTATATAATTACATCTTTCAACTACGAAAAACGATTCGTTCAGTATGTATTTGCAGAGCGCACTTTCCCGTTTTATACAATTAATAAAGTTGAATACTGTTTCGAAAACCGTTTTCTTCTCTCCTCTTAATATTCCGAAATTGCATCGGTCGAATAATAATTAAAAAGATTGAAATCGAAGTAAGGGCGGGGGGGGTGGGGCGGTTAGTGAGATTTCGATTGATGGCGGTCAATGGGGCGTATAAAAGCTCTCGTTGAGAGTAATGAAAATTCTGAACAGACATCGCCGAGAGACCGGCGGAGGCAGGGAAGGTCGAGCAAAGGAGACTGAGAGGATATCCCGAAGACGCGTAGGGGTTGAAATAAAACGCAGGCGCGCTTGCGATCAATAAATAGGCTAGCTCAGTCGAGGACAGGAGATCAGTAGCGTACGGACACGCAAGCAGTGAGGGTGGTAGCTCGTGTAATATTGTGTGTCGGGTGAGGCGTACGAAAACAACAGAGCACCCCTCCCCGGCGGACGGTGTAAAACGGGCTGCCAGCGGTGAGGCTGCAGAGCAGATCGCTCTTCCAGCATGCAACCACCACCGAGAAAAGTAAGATGAAAGACATCCTTTGACATTTCGTTTCTTTCGTCCCCCTGAGACCTTCCATCTTTCCTTGCTCAATTACTCGAGTACTTCTCTACAGAAGATTCTATGTTCCGGCGAGTCTTTCCTCGCGGAAAATCCTGCGGTCACGATCCGGGACGGGTAAACGTGATCGGGCTCCAATAGCTTTTCACGATTCTCCTGGTAAGGCAGGTTGACAATGCCTCGCGATCGAGATAAGCGAATTTCACCATCGTATCGATCTTTTGCTACGTCTTACGGAAAAATTGACGTAAACGGTGCTCGAACGTTACCACTATGAGATCGATGCGCACTTCGGCCCTCGGTCAGAACCTATACCAAAAGCTGACCTGAAAATCTATGGAACAAGCCAAAGACCTGGTTTAATATCGTCTCGATGAGAATCGAACGTGAGACCTACCGGTAATCATATTTACTTCGCCCTCCCGATCTTTGCTTTCGTCACTGGCTACGTTACCGGGGAATTTGACTCTCCTTGCACTGAAACCACCCTACATCCCTGAAATTTCTGTTTGTTTCCTTTATTATGTAACGGCACCGAAATCGATCCCGAATTTTGAATGTAGGACAATTTTTAGGAGGCCATGTTTCTGTTGAACGTGATTTCAATGTTTCACGTTTATAAATGCACTCGTCTTATTACGAGTCTTTATTCTAATTAACTACAGAAGAAAGAGGAACGGTTTTTCTTCTTAAAAGTGGTTTCAATCAGTCTCGATGTTAATAGAAATATCGACGGACATTACAAAGCCTCTTAGAAAACGTGCAATGATTTATCATCGATTTTCAATTCTTCCCACGCCCTGATACCCGACCAGCGTACTCAGCATCGTCTATGGGATGAATTATGCAATTTCCTAAGTACAAGTCAAAGTCGTTATTCAATTATATTTGGCCGTTTTAAAGATGACAGGAATTCCCTGACCTATTTATCGAGATACGCGGCGAACTGACCCTTCGCCCTCGCTCCGTGACAATGAATTTTCGCCAGTTAAAGATTGGGAGATTCCTGACCCACTTCCTCGTTACCGAACGCGAGTCAGGTGATAAGGAGTAGGAAACGCGTGTTTTACGGCTAAACACTGGTTGGAAAGAAATTTCGTCCGACTCGTCACAAGTGGCTCTCCTCTGTTTCCTCTCCGTGTCTTCGGGGCTCATTTCCCGTTCATCCACTTTTTTATACCGGAATATTTTTCCTTTGCAAACACGTCACAGCAAACGAAAGCGCTTTGCGTTTTTCTAGAGCGAAACAGAACAATTTTACCTGGAATTTTAAATACGTTCTGACGAATGCAGTAACGAAATGTTCTTTGCCCGAGGTGAAAACCTGACCTTTCCCTTCCATGGGACGTAGCATAAAAGCAGGCATGTCTCGCCTATGATACCCGATAAAATTCTCTTCCTAATTAGCGTTCATTAATTCCTTGCGTATGAAAAGTGTTCCTATAAACAGGCTTATTGGAAATTGTAATTTGTACGAGGAGATGGATTGCCGATTCGAAAGGAATTAAAATGTGCTCAGCGATATTTCAATTAGCGTGTCTGCTCGAACGTCGAAAGAAAAAGGGAACTTGGAAATTTGCATTGTACTCGAAAATGATGAAGTAGGTTTTCTCATTGAACGATCCGCGTAACAATGCATGTAGTTACGAGCACAGCGTGAGAGAGACAGGGACAGTATAATACACTTTCACGAAGGATCAATGCAAGAATAATTGCAATTTTAATGATCAGATGAAAAAGATTGCGTGCAGATTTTCATTTTCGGTGTTCACGTGGTCAATGCGAGTCTCACCTACGTGAGGGTAACGTACGTACTATAAAGTTGAACTTGACTTCGAACGATGTTACGCCCGATTAGAGCCAACCTGATCGATAATTATTATAAATATCTTTGTACAAATAAATTAACTGTCTGACGAAAACCTATTTATACCACAATCTATACGAACGGGAGATGTTCCACCATTGTCCTTGTTACACCCGTTGCCAAGTCGATTCTCCTGGTACATCCTGGCAAAGGACCAGAAGTGATCCTATCATCCATTACAAAGATCCGTCCGAAAATGTAAACTGGAAAGCACTGACGAGTGAAAAAGGAATGATGTCTACATCGACGGTATAATCGTTTTCTAGGGAAATTACACGAAATTCCTGAAGAATGTTCACGCGGAACAAGCGGCGAAATTGCAAGCGAAGAACCAACATGAATGCGACCTGCTCGAGGACATTCGGTGAGACTTGAAACTCTTCTGTAAAATAAGATTAGTTATGAGAGCTCTTTGAACGCCGAGCTTATTTTACATGCTGCTTCAATCTCTTCGTTGTTAACTATGCATTTTTCTAAGTTCTAAATATTCGAACACTTCGTTTCAGTACCTTTACGATAAAAAAGTCTGCGATTGAGAAATCTTATTCCGAGGTAAGGGAGGAGACTGAGAGTCGTCGCGTCATGAATTTGATTACTGATCGATCGTTCGTTTCAGGCTCTGCTTAAAATATCCTCCGCGTACTTAAATAAAAAGATACCAAATATCCCGGATCTGAAAGTCGAAGGTGCAGGGGAGAAATGGTACGCTTTAGTTATAACGTAATTAGCTTCCTCGAGGATGGAGCTAAGCGGTCGGATGTTTTTTAGGAATATGTGGAACGTTTGGCGGACAGTCTTAGAAGAAAACGAGAAGCTGGCTAGAGCTCGGCTAGCTGCGGTCGAAGTATTTCAGCAACAAATTGCTGACGACGCGAAGTCTTTAAGAATGCACAAAATTCAGATTTCTAAGAAGGTACGCATCGTCGAGTAAAAACTGTATCGGTAACTGACATTGTCTCTCTTTTCAAACAGGCAATCGACCAATTAATGATAGTACAAAAGGAGTTGCAAATGTGCGTGCAAGACGTGGACAAGACGAAGAAATTGTACTTCGACGAGGAGCACAGCGCTCATGACGTACGCGACAAGGCGAAAGACATCGAAGAGAAGTACGTGGGACAACCGTAAACGGACGTACAATCCTTTACACGCGGTATTGATCGTTTTTTTTCAGGCTGAAGAAGAAGAAGGGGTCCTTCTTTCAATCGATAACATCGCTGCAGAAAAATAGCGCGAAAGTGAGCTCGAAACGCGACGCTTTGGAGGAGAAGTCGACTGGAGCTCGGAACGATTATCTGCTCAGTCTCGCCGCTGCCAACGCGCATCAGAATAGATATTTCGCAGTCGATTTACAGAACACCATGCAAGTAAGCCACTTTCCTTATTACGCTTGTTCTCTTCGTTCGATTGAAGAATAATCTGGATATATATATTCATTCTGTTCGAATAGTATTTGGAACAAGGAGTCTATGACAAGGTTGCCGAATATCTAACGTTGATGGGTCGTACAGAACTGTTGACCTGCCTGGCCACGCAGAATAGCTTCGGAAAAATTCGTGATCAAGCGCAACAAGTACGTATCCGATGAACCGTGAAACAATCGAACGAGAACTCTTATTTATCCCGTTACAGCTTACTAGAGAGTACAACATACAATGCTGCTGCTTGTATTATCCCGTGTTGAAACAGCACATACAGTACGATTTCGATCCTTGCGACAGCGACCCGGTAGAAAGGTACGTGACGCCTCGATGCCTCGAGCATTCATCTTCCTGATTAATTGGAAAACGAATTTGTTACAGGGTAACGGTTGATCATTGTGCCGCAGCTACGCTCGGCAAGGAAGCTCGCCGTTGGTCCTCGAGAATAGCTCGGGAAGTAAGCAGCATTAGGGAAAACAATAGAAAATTACAAACGTTTCTGCAGCTTAAAGAATCTGGACAAAAGGTTCGCGAACGATTGTTACTCGTCGCGTATATTTAATGACCCTGCTAATAACCGCGTACGTTTGCAGACTGATCCGAACGATCCGCAAGGTCCAGATTTAGATACGAAAATCGATGAATTAAAACACTTGATACGCCGCGCAGAGGTAAGATATGTAGTGAAACGCGTGGAGTCACGTGAATTCTCTTCCTCACCCTGTTTACTTGTTCATTAGACAGCGAAATTGAAGGCAGAGGCGAGAATAGAATGTCTCCGAAACGGTGGAGGTTTGTCTCACGGAGTTTAAGTGAAATATATTTCATATACTTATCGATTCTACTGTCTCGCGTTTGTTATCCTTCTAGTGAACGTCGACGAATGGCTGCAGGAAGCGGAGACCCTCAGTGTCCAAGATATACCGCGTTCTGCCAGCTCTCTCTCAGTCAGGAGTGATGCATCAGGGACAGTGGTAATAATCTTCATTCACTGCGACATCGATAAATCAATGAATAGAAGTATCTGTATGAGTATTTTATAGGAACATCCGTCCTCGGACTCGTTTTATGACAGCGACGGTGACGGTGGCAGCGACTTGACGACTGTCGAACGACCAACAGTTCCTCAACAAGAAGAAGACGCCCCGCAAGGGAGGCAAAGACACGACAGCGAAGACGCAGACGGTAGGCCAAGATATCAAATGAAAACGTGCAAGGAGATTATTTGTATTTATATGAACAGCAGCTATGCGAGAGAAGCAGCTTGCTGGCTGGGACGATCCAACGAGTGTAGATTGGGAAGAGGATGATGAACAGAGAGAGAAGCAACTGATGGAAGCTCTTACGACTCGCTGGGATGATCCGACAACTGTGGACGAAGAGAAAGACGAAGCTCAGGAAGCAACTGATGCGCAATCTGCTCAGCCAATATACAAGTGCACCGCTCTTTACTCATACACGGTACACATTTTAAAATTCGTTGGGCAACAAATTTTACGAAATAAGAATGCTAGAAGAGATGTTTTGTTACAGGCGCAAAATCCCGATGAATTGTCAATTCTTGAGAGCGAGCAACTCGAAGTCGTCGGCGAGGGCGACGGCGACGGGTGGCTTCGCGCGCGGAATTACCGCGGGGAGGAAGGTTTTGTTCCTCAGAATTATCTCGACGTTGAGAGAGATACGCCTGGCCTCTCTTCCCAAGGGCCAGGTACACTGGTACAGCAAATATCTTTCTCTTCGGTAGATTACACCGTCGACGATCACGATGCCGTCGATCCAGACGCCAATTTACAAGCTACCGAGCCAGAGACTATTGTACAAAATCATATAGGAGGTAAGTTCCATCGCTGGGGATAAATCCCATGACACAAGCAGTTTCTGGACCATCTTTCTTCTAGAAACGGAGCAATTTTGCGTGGCTCTTTACGATTACGACGCCACGTGCGACGAGGAACTCAATTTCTTGGAAGGCGATATCCTAAAGGTGCTTAGAAAAGAACCGCACGACGTCGACGATGGATGGTGGGAAGGAGAACTCCGAGGTCAACGAGGATTGTTCCCCTCCTTGGTCGTAGAACCCTGTGCCGCGGACGGCTCACCGTTGACCCCCCAGGTTGTATTTCAATCTATGAATGATCGTGACTACTTCTGAGAAAGTATGCTAACACATTTCTGGAATTTATTAGGAGGATCTAACACCACCGAGTTCTGCACCACCTGTGTTTACACCGCCCGAGATTCCCGAGTTCTTACTCGAAGAGGAACTGACTCAAAGTCTCATGAAAGGTACGTTATCAAATTAGATCAGAATCGAAGAGACGTTCTCACTTTCATACGTTAAACTTTGCAGAAGCGCAAAATGCAAATGCAAATGCGGACGAGCAACAACAGCCGCAAGATCAAGAAGGTTTCAAGATAAATCTATCGAAGGACCAAAAAAGTCATTACGGCTCGCAGTTTCAAGGCGACAATCCCGATGGGCCTGGTATAGTAGGTAAGTTTCGAATCGTCACCGTGCTCTATCGCTTTTCTATTTAATCTGTGTATCTCAACATACACGAAATTGCTGCTTAGTCGTAGAAGTGTCGGACGAATCAGGAGCAAAGGTAAATGGAGTTTTCTTAAACCGATAGTTGAAAGGATCCGTGGATGAATCAACGATTTTTAATAATCTAGCCGTGCGGTCGTTCTACTTTTAGACAGATGAGGAAAGAGCTAAGCATCCGCAGTCTTTGAACACTGACCAGGCCAACGAAGATATCGGACTTGGCGTCGCGCAGATAGTGATCACGGCGGCAACGCCCATGGAAGAAGTTGAACACCCGTTCCCGGGTATGGAGGAAACCGCGGATGAGACGGTGAAGTCGACGGAAGAGAATTCCGAGGGCGATCCGCCATCAAGCGCTACTACCACTGACATGAACGAGAGCGACTGTAAAGAGCCTACCGTGATAATGGACGAGAAAGAGCAAGAAACTACGGGGGCGCCCGAAGAGGTCGAGGAGAAATCAACGGTGGACGATCTGCCGGCAGATTCGGCACCGTTCCCAGTTAGTAGCAGTTCTGGTAGCGAAGGCGACTCGACGTCTGGACCGAGCACGGCGGACAACTCTCAGTCTATACCGTCGCGCGGTACCGTGGTCGAGGTACAACAAGAAACGGAAGATATCGAGATCATGCCGGAGAAAATGGTGGTGGGCGGAAGGGCAAGTATTCCAGATGAGTTACAGCCAGACCAGCTGGAGAAACTGCAAAATCTGAAAGAATCAAATGCCTAGGATTGACTAGACCTCGGAGATCCCGATTATCCTGCCTTAACAAGTAAACTGGCTCTTCCGAAAAATCATCAAAACAAGTTCCAGCATTTAATGGAATTTTGGAAATCTCCGGAGGTTATTGGAAAAGAAAGACTAAACGAATAAAAAAACGAAAAAAAAATGGGAACGACTAAACGATTTTTATGTTGATATTATGTACACAACTTTTTTGCTAGATGATACTCTAGGGGAACTATTTAAAGAAGGGTGTTGCGACTTTTGCAACGCATTTACAAGAACATTAATTGTACAGTCATAAGGTAATAAAGAAAGATTGTCGATACCTATGATAGATGAAAAACTTTTAGTTGTTTGTGTACATTCTAAGAGAATTATAATGGTGTTGCATGTAAAAAAATTAACCGTTTTATTCATCTCTCATACATTCTTCTCTGTTTCTATATAAGTATCATTTGTGTCTTTCTTTAATTACCCACCTTCTGTGTCTCTGTCTTCCCTCCACTTCCACCTGTTCATGCAACCGTTACACGTACACCAGTTCAAGGTTGCATTCTGAGAGCACCATCCAGTCTTATCACTTCTCCGTTCAGCAGATGATTCTCAACGATTTGTTGTACCAGTTTTGCATATTCGTCCGGGTTTCCCAATCTGTGAGGGAACGGTACCGTTTTCGCCAAATATGCACGTACCTTTTCTGGTAAGCTTGATAACATCGGTGTATCGAATAATCCAGGAGCGATTGTGACTACGCGAATGCCGGGCTTGGCGAGATCGCGGGCCATGGGCAACGTCATTCCAACGATCGCGCCCTTGCTAGCCGAATACGCTACTTGACCCATCTGCCCCTCGTAAGCAGCAACGCTCGCTGTATTAATTATTACACCCCGTTGTCCATCCTCGTCCGGTTGGTTCTTGTATATCAATGGCAAACTTAATCTGATAACGTTGAACGTCCCCGACACATTTACGTTAACCACTTTGTTGAAGTCTTCTAGTGAATGCGGTGTGTTGGTATTGAAGTTATATATTTTGTGTGCTACCGCTATCCCTGCTGCATTAACAATAACGTTCAGCTTCTTAAATTTCTTTTCTATTGTAGTCACAGCAGCGTTCACATCGTCCGGTGATGTTACCTGTAAGAAAGTCCAAAGTTCTACCAAAGAAGAAGGATGATTCACTGACACCTTCCATGTCAATTCATAATGGTTACTAATAATATTAATTGTAGTAGAGATATATATGTATATATACATTAAGGCCAAGTTTAAAGTTAATCACGATTCCAAAGAATAAATATATTGCAATGTAAAGAAATATATACATTACACTAACAGAATTGAAAATTCTATTCATGTTTTACTATGACAATTTCTTATACTTTTTACTACTGAGAGCAGTATTAAAACGCTCACATTCATTGGTGTAAAAACAGCAGAGTCTCCCAGCTCTTTAGCGATCTCATCTCCTTTGGATGATGGTAGATCAGCGATGGCTACTTTGGCACCTTCTTTTACAAATCTTCGCACGCAACCAAGCCCTAATCCAGAGGCACCTCCGGTTACAAGAGCTACTAGTCCCTAAAATAAATGCATATGTATTAATCACGCGATCGAATTTTATATGTTACTCACGCAAAATCGTTACTAACTTTAAACTAATTATTTTCAGTATGTTCTACGAAATATAACGATTCAAGGATAATATGTATCGTGTCATATACGTATTGAACACTGAACAACCGGTGAAAAGAATAACGTTTTTCAATTGTAACAAATGTACGAAACAATACGAATACGATATCAATAATACGCATGACCACGATATAGAAAGATTTTTGTACTGATCGTATTTCTTAGTTTAATTTACTGTAATTACGATGTCTACGTGAAGGAAACGAGAACTTACGTTCATATTGTGAAGTGGAGAATTTGGTGATGGAAAATGTGATTGAAAACGAGTGGTAGAAAAAGGCAGTTCAATCGCAATCGGCAACTACTAGACAATCACGGCTGATGATGTCGACTGGACTTGGAATACACTGTACATGCGAATTGACACCGGGCGGTTAAATTATCTGTACGTAACAAAGAAGACTTTGAACCATGTGGGCGTTCCTTTTCTCCTTCTAGACTCTTATCTTGGAGAATCGGACAAGGATAGTACATGCAAAAAAAACGATATCGCTTGTTTACTACGTTTAAAGAATTCATCGTTGCAAGTCATTGCTATTTGTTAAATAAATTCGAGGTCTAATATATGTATTTTGATGTAATAATCGTTCTGTACTCGAGAACGAACTTTGTAAGGATTCATTAATATGTCGAATAAAATACGATTTTCTCTATACTTCATAAGTTCGCTATCTTGTTTATTTGTTATGTATTTGCAAACTTTAATGCAGATAATTACTGTACTTTAAACATAATCAAAGAGTATTTTTCGTTGTCGTAATCAGAATGAAAGATAAACCAACCGATGCGAAAATACTTGATTAAATATCGTGCATTCTCACGAATGCTTTCATTTTATAAAACCATCGCTTACGAGATTTGAGGAATTTTTTTCACACTAATCCTCAACGCAAGGTGCTGTGATCGGAATTCCTGAAATTTTACGATATTGAGCTGCCATATAGAATATTGATAGTTATTTAAATGAAAACTACTTTAAAAACGAGGAATCAATATCAAAGTTACCGCGTGACGTAAAAATATATTTAAATTCCAAATTTCACAGATTTGCATAATGCATATTGTTCAAATTTCTTTCCAAGAAGCATAAATATACAAATGCAACTATCAACAGTAATTGCGATTGTTACAAAGCATTATATGACAAATGACTGATTTAATATTATATTATTCAGATTATTGGTTATGCTTCGTTAGAAAGTAAAACAACATTCTTCTATTCACGATGACAATTATACGATTCAATAATTCACGGCGCTTCGTCTGTTATTATAAACATTGTCATAATCAATTTTCTACTCAAAGTTTATCAGGTACTAATACAATTTATTTCACGTAATATTTAAAAGGATCTCGCACTCCTATATCTTTACTTATACATACCTTTTTGGTAGATTTCCCGAAATCTTGTAATGTGAAAGAGATTGAAAATGAATGGTACGAAATATGGGAGAGGAATAATTACTTCTCTGTTAAAAATGTTGAGAAAACAGCTATGAAAATGTTGTTGCCTCCTCCCAATATTACCGGAGCGCTGCATTTAGGACACGCGATGACTGTTATAATTCAAGATGTACTAGCAAGATGGTATGCACTTACTTCTTACAATAAAATATGTAATATAATAAAAAATATCTGTATCTAGGTACAGAATGAAGGGACATCCTGTGGTATGGATACCAGGCTTCGATCATGCTGGTATCGCGACACAAATGATAGTAGAGAAACATCTACTTAAGACAAAAGGTGTTAAGAGATCAGATATAGGACCGGAGGAATTTGTTTCATTCGTTTCCCAGTGGAAGAATGAAAAAGAGAATATGATAAGATCACAATTGAAAGCTTTAGGTGCAAGCTTGGATTGGTCCAGAGAATACTTTACAATGAGTGAGGTATATTTATCTGCGAGCAGTCCATAGAATTTTAAACAATTATATATTTATGTTTCTGATAGACTCACAATCATGCCGTGACAGAAGCGTTTGTGATGCTGAACGATCGAAACTTATTGTATAGGAAGAACGATTTGATCAATTGGTCTCCTACTATGCGTAGCGCGATATCTGATATCGAAGTGGAACGTGTATATATTAATAAAAAGACGAAGCTTCAGATTCCAGGATACGAGAGAACAGTCACATTTGGCGAATTAGTGCATGTAGCTTATCCAGTAAAAGGTTCAGGTAACAGTCTCTATTACACAGTCTTCAAACTGTGTTTGACTAACTTTTTCATTTCTTCAGAACAAGAAATAGTGGTAGCGACTACTAGACCAGAGACTCTTTTCGGAGATGTAGCGATTGCTGTTCATCCAGAGGATGAAAGATACGCTCAGTATATTGGAAAACAAGTCTGGCATACTTTAAGGGAGACTTATATACCCGTTGTTTCCGATGCCTTGGTCGATAGACAATTTGGAACAGGTACATCTCGATTGTTAAAAAGTCTTATCAATAGCGTGATGAAATGATCTCTTAGGTGCAGTGAAAGTAACACCAGCACACGACCCTTTGGATTATGCGATCGCAATGAATCATCAGTTGGATATCATTGATGTTATCGACGAACAAGGGAATATAACAACTGCCGGGAAAGAATTTAAGGTATAACTCTGATGTATAATTTTGTATAAACCCAAGTCTGATAGATCGATCAATTGTAGGATCTACCAAGGTTTATTGCCCGACGAAAAGTGTTAAATGAATTGACGAACAGGGGTGTTTTAAGGGGTATCAGCGATCATGAAATGTGTATACCTTTGTGTTCACGATCTCATGACGTCGTTGAATATTTACTCAAAGAGCAATGGTTCATCAGATGTAAGGATATGGCACAAAGGGCAGCAGAAACCGTGAGACAAAATCGTCTAGTACTTGTACCTCCGATTCACGAACAAGTGTGGTATGATTACCTTGATAATATCAGGTGAGAATGAAATACAAATAAAATTGTTAATGGTATTTATATTTTAATCAATCTTTTAGAGACTGGTGCATCTCAAGACAAATCTGGTGGGGCCATTCTATCCCTGCATATTACGTTTCAGTTGGAGATAAAACTGAGTGGATCGTTTCTCGAACCGAAGCTGATGCAAAAATAATTGCGGAAAATAAGTATGGATCGAATGTAGAATTACACAGAGATCCAGATGTGTTGGATACTTGGTTTTCCTCTGCGATACTTCCTTTCGCAGTGATGGGATGGCCGAAAGAGGTATACGATACGTAAATTACGTGTGTCTAAGTTATATTCCCATTTATATTTTCAGACGGAAGATTTGAAGAAGTATTATCCTTTAACGTTAATGGAGACAGGCAGTGATATCTTATTTTTTTGGGTCGCGAGAATGGTGATGCTAGGATTAGAGTTGACTAATCGCCTTCCGTTTAATGTAAGATCTTTTATTCATTGAGTACTTTTTTATTTTATACTGCAACTATTTAAGATTTGTTAATTCAGGAAGTTTTACTGCACGGTCTTTTATGCGACGCTTACGGGAAGAAAATGTCCAAGACACTTGGAAATATCGTTTCACCAGAAAATATCATCAATGGTATTACGTTAGATGTAAGTATTACCATGTACATTTTATTATATTAATAATAATTCGTGTTACGTGTTTTGGTACAAGTAGGATCTTGGTGCTCAATTGAAAGAAAATTTTAATGCAGGCCTTATGAACGAAGCTATCTTGAAACGTATGTTACTCGCTAATAAGAAAATATTCCCGAACGGTATACCGGAATGTGGCGCAGATGCACTGCGTATGACACTGTGCAGCCACAATATTAAAAGTTAGTAAAAGCGTAACGTCAGTCTTTTTCCTTAATGTTATAATTGTTATATGTGTAATCGTTTATCTAAATAGATTCACACATAAACTTCGATATTATGGAATGCCAAACGAATAAATTCTTCTTAAATAAGATTTGGCAAGCAAGCAGATACATATTACTCATGACACATGGAAAAGTATATAAAAAACCGAACAGCATGACAGTGATCGATCAGTGGATTTTAAGCAGACTGTCTTTAATGATCGATCTAGTGAACCAATCGCTTACACAACGAGATTTTCATAAAGCTATTGCGGCAATGAAACAGTTCTTCTATTATGAATTCTGTGATTTTTATTTGGTAAGTAATTCCATTGATCCTTTGAAACGTTATCTAAAGTTTGATTTTATTAGGAGGCAACTAAATGGGGCTTCAAAAGTGAAATCCCAGACGTACATATGAGCCATACGTACAGTTTAAGAACGTGTTTAGAAACATTTTTGCGTGTAACTGCGCCAGTAATACCGTATCTCTCTGATGATCTGTATAAAAGACTGTCAAATATTTTACCAGAATTCGTGTCAATACCATCGTTGATGGAAGCCCAATATCCGGAACCAGAACAGGTGAGATTTGTCACTTTTGCATATATTAGAAGATCACGAAGTTAACGAGTATGATCGTTACAGTTTACCGAATGGAGAGATGATCCTTTAGATGAAAGAATAAATGAAGTTCTAAAACTTATACTAGAGATTCGAAGTGTTACGGCCAATATTAGCAAAAAATTGAATCCCGAAGGTAATCATTTAAGGATGTATTGGCTACACAGTCAATCCGAAAAGTTTATGTACCTTAGAAAAACGAAAATTTTTTTTTTGTTGTTTATTATGAGCAATGTTCTTCCGACGTCTGATTTCTTTTTAAAAAATGCATTTCTAAAGTGCATAAACTTTTGGGATTGACTATATAGCCAATACATCCTTAAGTGCTACTATAATCTGTGTGAATCTATTATAAAACTTAAGTATCATCCTTGTAGTTCACATTATAATTGACAAATCGGAGGATCTCGTCTTTTATAACAATGTCATAAATTTAATCAAGGGAGGAAGTAAAATTTTCAATGTTTCTATATTCTCAGAAGCTAATTACGCAGAGAAGAAGGACAGTGTTTCTTATTCTTATTCGCCCAACTGCGTGATAGCGATTATCATAGAAGTAAGTTTAATAATGTTCCTTTAAAAGGATTTACATTTATTACTCACTTCGTTTTTAGAATCCGTCTGTTTTGGAAGAGCTTGAGAAGAAAATTTCAGATAAAACAATTGCACAAAAGAATCAGAATTAAACAGACTCACAGTTGCCCCAAATGAAAGACTGACAAATAATTGGAACTGTACAAGGTACAAATCAAATTGAAATTTATTATATTTCAACGAAGATATTTATACTTTACGATTAATTTTCGCTTACATCCATCTGTTCATTCTCAGAATCATCCTCATCACTACTATCACTGTTCGAACTAGAGTCGCTAGAATCATACCACGTTTGTAAAGATAAATCATCTTTTAATATTGTTCTCCACTCATCTAATTTACGGCAGTCCAAGCTGTAGAAATCGTTAAGCGTATATTGTCGGTCTCCATTTTCAACCATGCCACCGTACAAGTATAGAACGTTGTGCTTTACAGCAAGTCCGGGATTTATTCTCGGAGACGGTACAAACATATCTTTGCACGTACTTTGTTGTTTATCAGTGACCGACGTCGATGCCGGTCCTATGGTGACTGTGAATATTCCATCGTCATCTACAACTTTCGATTCGACAGGCATAGATGATTCTTCTGTTTCATCGTCACTAGCGTCCTTGTCTCCCGTATCATCTTGTCCATCTTCCTTCGGTTTTCTTCTTCGACGTCTAGTTGTTTCATCCTTCTTTCCATGTAACGTCACGATGTGCCATTGGAATTTTTCCAAGTCCAAGCCCGCTAGATCGTTATAAAATGTCCCGCGAAGTTCTTCTTCGTCATCCTCTTCGTCGAAGACTCCGCCAAATAAATAAGCCAAGTTCGGTTGAACCAAAACGGCCGATGCGCTGCACCTAGGCGATATCTTAAGTCCCGATTGCTTCACAGACACCCACTTCCACTTTAAACCGGTCTGATCATTTTTTTCCGGAGTCATTAAGAACATGTCATTGTGAATGGAGCCTTTGTCAACGTCTTTTTTTATCCTTTCCTTACTATAACCGCCATATACAAGAAGCTTGTTCTCAGGTGTTGCCAGTACTATACATCCTGACCTTGGAAGCGGTGGAACACCAGACAACTCGATTTTGTGCCAGGCATATGTTTCGAGATTGAATATATGCACGTCGTTATAATATTTGTAATCTCTTAAATTGTCATGAAATCCACCGAAAACTATTAATTGCTTTTTTATGTGTACCATTCTGTGACCACTCCTTGCCGATGGTCCGCCAGGTGATCTTTATTAAAAAGTAAAAGCCAATGAATACCAATGATTTGTGTGAAAGAAGAGTGAAAAGAATTATAGTTGCATTTACTTACAAGATCTTCTCCCATTTTTTCTCTGCAAATCTGTACACCCATAGATCCTTATAATGATAAAATTGTGATTCCGAGGGACTTGAAAATTCTCCACCAAACACCCATAGCTCTCCCTTGTTCACAGTCGTCGCTATTGCTTGGTGGCCACATCGCGGAGGCGGTGCACCAGGTGCTTTTACGATCATCCATTCGTTCTTGTTCAAATTATATACGAACATATCTCCATAAACGACTGTCTGAAATTAGACCGATTAAGAATTGAGATACGATTTTGTAGAAGGTTTTAAATTACCGTCCGTCCATCGTGAAACTCTCCCCCAAGCATGACGAGTTCATCTTTGAAAGGATGCGCAGTCAATGTAAAATTTACACGCCGTGACGGAGGTGATACTGTTTTCTCAACAACGTGTTGCCTTCTTGCTTCTTCTCTCTCAATTTGAGCAACTACCTTTTCTATGTCATCCTGTATATTTCAAATACGAATCGATAAACCTTTTCAACAGTATTTCAATAAATTTATGTGATGTATTTGTCTAACCTCGCCAAGAGCAGCCAGTTCCTTCTTTTGCTTAGCATTCAACTTCTTTTCAGTTTTAAGTGCAGTTTTTACACTACCACTTACTTTCTTCTTGCTTTTATCTTTTTTACCCATAGTATAAAAAAAAACTTCAGTAATGAGGACAAAAGACTCGGGACCTCGAATCGATCCACGTGAGGCAAACAGTACTTGTTGTTACACGTGCGATATAAGGATTAATAATAGACTTTGAATGCAAACAGTCATTGCGATAAAAAAAAGTCAACGTAATCAAATCGGTGGTCGGTGATATGAAAATGCCCGCTTTAAACCTTTTCAAATTAGTCCTCCTACTAGCTAGAGCGTGTATGCGTGCGTGTACGATTAGATCCCCGTGTCCGTGTGTGAACCGCGATACCACGAGCTAAGGTCACGTGGTTCACTCCTCATCGTGTGTTTCACGCCGATCATTTTAACCCGTGCGGTTGATGTGCTCGGTACTGATCCCGTGGTCGCGCGCGTGGTCCAACGTTCGTTTTATTCGAAACTTGAGATTCTAAGATCCGATCTCGGATGATCTGGTATCGCGAACGCAGTACGAAGATATCGTTGCGCTTCTCTCATAAGGAACATGTACACTGTATCGAAAGGACCTAGCAAGATCGTCGCGAAGACACGAAGAGGTACCGATATCTCCCATTGAGTATATTTAACTAGTATTTAGAAACGGCTGTAACGTTGCGGTTGATCGGGAGTAATGATTTCTTAGGAATCAGTCAGAACCTTGAGAGGCTGGAGACGTTGCGCGATTTAACGAGAAAAGCCGATCCCGACGATGACCACGAGACCACCCGGTAAGTAATGCTTTAACCCATCTTAACCCTACCGCATTCCCTCTCTCTCTCCCTCTCCTCTCTCCTGCTTTCTTTTTCTAGCTTACACATTACGCAATTCATAATTCTTCATCGAAAGCAAGCACGTGTAATCTCTATATTGTATTCCTCGTAAATCATCGGCTATGACTCGAAAAATGTTACCCACAAACATTTCCTGTAATTTAAGAAAGTCACACGATCTACGGCTTTCCGTACTAACATTCATTTAAATGTTGATATTTGTTTCGCAGCCACGTACCGAAGCCAGTCTTTCACATCAATGGAAAGTCTAAATTCAGTTCGCAGAGGCATCAAGTGCAGGAGATCATAACACCTCAACACGAGGAACTTATTAAATTTGTTTACGAATGTAGGTGAAAAGTCGCTATTTCATCCTGATTGTTATATAAAAAATTCGAAGATGCGTCTCTCGTAAAGAAATCGATTTGTACACTGCGCTGCCATTCAAGGATAGTATCAGCTGATTCCTTATGCAGGGCCGAAATCATTTCGATTTAATTGATTCTCAAAATATTTTCGAGCAGATCGATCTAATGGAAAATTTGTCAAGACGCACGTACTACCATTTTGGTCTCAATCCTGTACTATAGGGATTGCATAACACATAATATTGCCTTGTTGTAACATCGAACATTCTTTTTTATCAGCATGGAATCAAGTCAATACGCGGCAGAGAAGTGAATCCTCCGATGGTTCGGATTGTTCAGAATCTTCCAGTAAGTCTTGCTTAAATTTAATTCGATTTATATATTGTATTTCTAGTAGTAATGTGTCTTGAAAGAAATCCTCCGATATATTTGTACAGAATGAAAATTGAACAAGAACACTTGATTTGTTTCAGGGCCGAGCTCGATAGTGTATTACAATGACGGCGAGCCGAACGATACCCTTCAAGGTGAGATGATATTATTTGTTCTTCAAATAAATTAAGATTCATTCGAAGCGAACTTGATGTTCTCCTTGTTGCTAAATTGACGCAGATAACTTCGTTTCGGCAATTGTTTTTCTTTCAAAGTTGAACATTAATCATTTCGATTATACTGTTTCAGACTTTAAACCATTTGATTTGGAATCGTGGTGGGGCAAAAGATTATTTAACAATATAACAAAGTCGCTTTGAAAAATGAACAGTTAAAAGTTTCGGGAGAGTATATCTTGAAGTAGTACAGAGTATCGAACAGTGCTAGCGAGGTCGGCCTGTTTTAAACATGTTGGAAGAATCGTGTAGAACGAAACCAGAGGTTCGAAGTTAATTTGATAGACATCACGGATCAGTGGATTTAAAAACTATTATATGTATAATGTTATTTGTTACGATCGAATCGTTTACGTTTTCCGAGGGAGGAGTGATAAATCGTACAGCTTTAAAAGTTGAATCTGTCTCAAAGATATTTTACATTAAAATTTAGTTATTTTAAATGTCACGAAACTGTGTTTCTGCGATTGTTTTAAAAGAATCCGTACTGACAATAATTTGCATGAACAGATGAATATGCCTTTTCGTCGATGCAACACGGGGTGTGCGACGCAGCGCGTATATTGTATATTCTTTTTAGAAATGTGTCTCCGAGCGTTTCGAATCGTGTAAAGGTGTACAGAAATTTCGTTCGTACACGAAAGGCGATCGAGATCCAGATGAACCGGTTAAAGGAAGGCGAATCAATGTGATACACAGCACGTTCGCTATTTCTGTTTATAGATTTTTAAACTAATGCAGGTGGAGATGTAATTCATGAATACATACCAGATAGCGTTAAGCGTACACACAAATCCCTGCGCGGTATGAATGCAGCGTGGAAATAAATGAATTTTTAATCATAGTATGATGTAAATAATTACATGCATTGTCTGCGTGGATGCATGGATACACTGCTGATATATTGTTATGACAAACCGTGTCGAAATACTTTTATGTAAGCAAACTTTAGTATAAATTTGTAGACTGATAATGTTTAAGATTGTTATA